AGTTAGTGATAGAAATGTAGCCGTGTTAGTCTGGTGTAGCTGAAACAAAAAACAGGACTATGTAGTATTTTAAAGATTAACAAGATGGTTTATTAGGTCATCAGCTTTCGTGGGTCAGACCCACTTCCTCAGATCAAATAGTGGAAGAAAATAGTCACAACCACATATACCAAAGGATACAATTAAAAAAATGAACACATATGAAAAGGACAAATCAAATTTCAGAACAGAAGGAGGATGGGGGGGAGGTAAATGCCTGTGAGCTAATGATATTAGAGGTGATAATTGGGGAAGCTATCTTTGTAATGGGTAAGATAATTAGAGTCTTTATTCAAATTTAAGTGTAAAGTGTCGAATTTAAGCATGCATGACAGTTCAGAGGATTCTCTTTCAAGTGTAATCTTAAAAGGCTTTTGAAGCAGGATGCAGGTAATCAAGTCGTTGACACAATGTCCTTGCTGGTTGAAATGGCAGGAAATGACTACATCTAACATCGTAGTGGGAGCTCCCCAAATACTACAATGGTGAGCACAGCATAAGAGCCTTTATTGAATAGGATTGTAATTTGTAAGTAGAATCTCTTTGGAATCATGCAGATGGGTTTAGAAAGAATGTGGTACAGACACTGAAAGTACTTACTATCCCATTCAGAGATGGGAGTTACTGGCTTCGGGCTCTACGCAGGCCTGTGAATGTGGAGGTAGGTCAGAATCCTGAGTCTGCACCTAAAATCAATGAACCTGCTCTGCACAAAATTATCATTAATTGTATCTGTCATGTAACATTCTTCCGTACAGGAATTCCTGCTAAGGAATTAAACCTGTTAAAGGACAAAACAGACAGTGTTTATTATCATGATTTGGGAGTTCTACATTGTGCTCTATTCTAGGTGTCTGGTTGTTACCAACATTTCTCTACTGAAGAAAGAGGAAAAGGAAATTTTTTGTGCAATGGGAAAGAGACAAAATCATGCCTTAAAGTTTACTCCTCCAGGCATTGATAACTATTTAATTTGGCCCTTGTCTTGTAAGTTTTTCACAGAACTAAAGGAATTGACAGTATGCAAAAGGATGGAGGAGTTTTAGTTAAAACATCTATGGGTAAAACTGTTTTTGCCTACAAAACTGCAACTGGTAAGTAATTAGTCACAATTTAAAATAAATCTTATTTCTGAGTTATATATACCCCCTGGGAGGGAGAAATCATCACTACAATTATAGCTGGCCTTTTTACAGTTTAAATTCCAAAGCAAATAATCACAATTTGTGGTGTTAATTAAAGATACACAATGCTGTGCTGCAGAAAATTGAAAATTGTTTGAAAATAAAGAGGATTTTATACATTAGCAATATGCCAGGTGCACCTGTTTCTCAGATAATTACAAATTATAAAAAGTCCTGCTGTTATAATTATAATACTAGTTTGTATTCTTCAATTTTCAACATGCTTGAGCCTCTCTTTAATACAGTGGTGTGAATATACTGTTAAATTACTTATGCTGATAAATTAGATGTTCAATAGATTGGCAACTTAATGTTTTGCAAATGTGATTTTTTTTCCTGGTATTTAAATTAACAAGCATTATTTCTTCTTTCTATGTATTTTTTCTTTCAACATAACTGATGTGTCTAATGTGGCGAGTACAACATCAAAGCTGGTTTGGTGCTTTCCATCTATTTTTGGGATGCTTCGGCCTCTTTTAAACATTGTTACTTTGAGTCAATAATATTAACCAACACTTGCCCCTAAAGGCATTCATCAAGATTGGGGCCTCCATTATGCTGGGAACTGTACAAACCAGAGGCAATTCCTTCTTTAGACAATTTTCAGTAGCAGCAATAATGTACGTGTTAAGAGCAGCCCATTTACAGGACTCTATAATGAAACTATGGAGAACTTGAGCAGAATACTTATAACAAACATTTGGTATGGAGCAGGGTTGCTGGAAAAATTGTTTATACTGGGGGTGCTGAGAACTGTTGAACCCAACTGGAAAGCTGGTATATAATGGAAACTATTTCAAGCCAGTGTGTGCTGTAGCACCCCCCACGCTCCTAGGCTACATCTACACTACAATCTTCTTCCACAAGAGGAAATTCAAATGGAGTACTCATTTGCATATGTCACTCTCATTTGCATTTCCTCCGCGGATCCCTTTGCTCATGAGGTTTTTGCACAAAAAAGAGCTGTGTAGACCCTCATTTTTCTCCTCATTTTTTGAGGAAGAATAGCTCTTGTGCAAAAGGGTTTTTTGGCACAAAAAGGAGCAGTCTACACAGCTCTTTTTTACTCAAAAACCTGTTGCGCAAAAGGGATCCGAGGAGAAAATGCAAATGAGAGCACAGCATATGCAAACAAGTGCTCCATTTGTATTTCCTCTTGTGGAAGAGGCTTGTAGTATAGATGCAGCCCTAGTTCTAGCTCCTATGGTATGGGGAGAACAGTGTATGTATTTAGTCCTCTAGTCAGTGGAATTATTTCATTGGAGGACCAGTTTCACCCTTCTGACTTATATAGCTTTTTTGGAAAACCAATTCTTAGCTTGGTAATACAAATCTTCTGTCAAGGTTCAATTAGTATCATAACTGATCCTACTATCTATAGCATTTCTAATATGACCATCATCTATATAACTCGGTGCCATTCACTGTGAAGTCAATGCTACTATTTAAATGAGTAAAGGTTACTTTGCATGTGTAAACTTTATCAAGAGGATCACGTGTAGTCCCCAGCATCAATAAAACCACAGGACACAACTGAAGCAAGAGCGAGACACCTCTTTTAGAGTGACACAAAAAACTAAGCCTACAAACTTCGATTTTGGTTCATGGGTGTCTGAGTACAAATTATGGCAGCACATGAGTGTCTCTCAGGGAATCATCACTCAGCCTGTTTCAGAGGTTTTGGCAGGTTAGTGAAATATATAAATAGTGTTCTCTTCATGGGATTTAGGTTGTAGGATTATTGTCCACAGTGCTCCAATATAAATATTGAGCCAGGAGGTTAAAGTGAATGGAGAATATAAGGTGTTAACATAAAGTTCTATGCCATGGTATTCTGATGATGAAGTTGGATTCCAACAATATCTCATTCTATATTTTGCAGAGCTGATGAACTAGGTTAATATAACACCTTAAAGCACACTCCCCCCCCTTTTCCTGAAAGAAATGGAGGGACACCTTGGAAATGACCGAGATACCGAATTGCAGCTACCGTTTATATTTATAGCCACAGTGCTGAGAATAAACTTCATCACAAAGTTCTTACGACAGTATCATAATTAGAAGGAAACAATATCAATGCTAATCAATGGCGGCTGGTGGGAAAAGACAAAGCTATGTCAATGGAAGTCTAAGGCAACAACATTATAATCTAAAGAAAGGCAAAATGAGATCAATACAAGTCAATGGAGCTGACATTATGATATGTGAAAGGACAAAATAACGCTGATCTAGAACAAAAGGTGTCAAAGACTGAATATTTTAGGCTAAATGAAATGGTAAACTTATGTGAACAACTGAATTGATTCCTATGATTCACAACGTTCGTGCCTTCATGTATCACAATGTCATTTTGTTTATACTATTTTGTTTATGTTAACTGAATACAACCGCGCACATGCTTTAGAATAATGCTAAAATTTATATTAATAAATAATGCTTTATTTTAGAAACATAAATTGTCACAAGATTGTTGGGAGCTAGCTGAATACTGATATTATGCAAATTTTGCTGATGGTTCAGATGAAAAATTCAGTGTACGAACTAAATTCACACAGTAAGTCACTGGCAATGTTTAGGTTAGAATCCAGAGTCAGTAACCCACAACTGATTTATTTGGAAATGGAATAATTGTATTTGAGAAATACAGTATCTCCTCATAGTTTAGATAGAAAAATTAGTTTCTGCCATATTTTTCCAAACTCCATTCTTCCCCCCAAAGGAAACCAACCATCCTAAAATCTCATGGGCCCCATATCCTCTGCGGATGACTTTTTTTTCTCCAGAACAACTTTCATTGTAAACTTTCCTTTAAAAACCCATGTATATGTGGGTCTTTTGTTTGTTTGTCTGGTGGAAGTTGTCTTGTTTTTGTGGTGAAGCAAATATAAAAATATATAATAACTGTTTAGTTTGTGGCATATATACATTACATTTATTAAAGTACTGAAGGGGCTAATAAAAGGATAATTAAAACAGAAATATAAAAAAGGAGGAGGCAGTGAAAAGCTCGGGAAGAGGAAGATTTTGCTCAGATAGCATCAAGAACTAGGAAACTAAAGAACTATACTGTTGACTGGACACACTTTAAGTTACAAAAAGAGGGTGAAATCTTGGCCCACTGAAGTCAACAGGAGTTTTGCTACTGACTTCATTGTGTTTTCCCTCTGAAAGAGGCAAACCATTGTTTTTTGTTTGTTTTCGGTTTTGCCACATTGCTCTTTTTTAGAGACCAAACGGAAGAAAAACACATTGTAGTGTCTCTGTAGATAGTGCCAGGATACCAAAATTAAAAATTACTCAATACAGCAAGCCCTAAATATTAGTCAAAGTTATTCAAGTACTTTGCCACTTTATACCATAGCATTTTAAATAAGTAGAAAACATAGGATGATCTTTGGGAGGAATGCTACCTTTGATAAACTAAACAGATACACACTTCTTTAGATTGTTAGTCATAATAAAGATACACTCCATATTAAACTTGTGATAAAACTCTGATCACAAACTGTTCTTTGTGATGGAATGTAAATGATCTTTGAAATGTTCACTCTTGATGTCTCTGTATTCATTTTGTTTAATAATACAACCAAAATACATGATGAAGTGCAATGTTGGATGACTAGCTTGCTTTATCTTATAATTGCCCAAAGAGGCATATGCTATATAACTGCTTATTAATGTTAGGTCAAATAGCTTATTACATTGTATCATCCTCGATGTACAGAAGCAAGGAAATTATAGCAATCCATTGCTGCTAATCACGTCTCTTAAACTCACCTAATTAGAAGCTCCAGACTTCTCTTCTTTTTGGAGCTGCTTGGAAGCTTCTCTGTCTCTTCTGCAAGGAGTGTCACAGAGCTGTGGTTCCAGACAGCTTTGAGCAAATGAAGAAATACTCCATCCAGAGCTGAAAAATAAAGGATGACTGAGGAGGTGCTCTAAAATACAGCATATACATCTGCCAAGGAAACCCCTAAAATGACCCACCTTAAAATGAATGCAAACTCCTTCTGCTATCTGAAGTAAATTTAAGATTAAAATAGAGCACTGTTTAAGCAGGCAGGTAAGGAAACTTACAGCTTTTCATATTCAACAATAGCTCTAGCCTCAGCATTTCATGTTTACAAAAAATTCTAAGCAGCTTTATATTTGGAAAATTTAGAAAACTAGAGGAACAGTAAAAACAGAGCTGAACGCTGTAAATAAGAGGGTTCAGATAGAATAATACTCTTATCTTGCCATGTAAAGGAGCCCACCAACCCATTGTGCCTCAGAAATCCTCCTGCTCCTTGCAATGGACTAGGCTAGAACAGAGAATCTCATCATAGTTACACCAGAGTAAATTACAATAATCTCATCGGGGTCCTTGGAGTAGCTCTTGGTTTACAATGTAATTGTGATCAGGGTAAGTCTCACCAGGTGTAAGAATGAAGAGTTTTGCCTCCTTTAGCTTGTAAACACAGTACAACAGTTGAAATATTATAAAGCACACAGTATACAGTGGAAAGTATCCCAAAATTCTAATTGCCAATGCTCTGGAAAAAAAAGACTTCAGTGTGCTCTCAAGTATTTCATAATCATTTCTTCATTTTCTAGTGCATGGATCCCTCTGTGTCTGACACGGGTGAGTGAATCATAGAACATTAGTACTTGAAGGGGGCTCAAAGGGTCGAGTCCAGTCCCCTGCCCTCATGGCAGGACTCAGTACCATCTAGACCATCCCTGATAGATGTCTATCTAACTTGTTCTTAAATATCTCCAGAGATGGAGATTCCACCACCTCCCTTGGCAATTTATTCCAATATTTGACCACCCTGACAGTTAGGAATTTTTTCCTAATGTCCAATCTAACCCCCCCCCTGCTGCACGTTAAGCCCATTACTCCTTGTCCTGTCCTCAGAAACCAAGAGGAACAAATTTTCTCCTTCCTCCTTGTGACACCCTTTTAGATATTTGAAAACCGCTATCATGTCCCCCCTTAATCTTCTTTTTTCCAAACTAAACAAGCCCAGTTCACGAAGCCTGGCTTCATAGGTCATGTTCTCTAGACCTTTAATCATTCTTGTCACTCTTCTCTGTACCCTTTCCAATTTCTCCACATCTTTCTTGAAATGTGGCGCCCAGAACTGGACACAGTACTCCAGCTGAGGCCTAACTAGGCTGAGGCCTAACTAGTCGTTTAGGTGTTGAGGATGACCTGGAGCATTATCTAAAATAAGCAAAATTTTGAAAGGAATTCCTTTCTCCAGGAAATATGCCTTGACTTCAGGGATGAAACAGTTCATGAACCAATCTTCAAAAAGTGCAAGTGTCATCCATGCTTTCTTAGCATGATAATGGACTGGTAAAATAGCCTTACTGATATTCTTGAAGGCTCTAGGGTATTCAGAGTGATAAATCAAGAAGGGTTTCAACTTATACACAAAAACATTCCCTTCTAACAAGAATGTTAGATGGTCTTCAAAAGCCTTAAAACCAGGCACAGTTTTTGCCTCTTCATGTATGTAGGTATGGTCAGGCATTTTCTTCCAAAAGAGAGCCCTCTCATCGACATTAAAGATCTGTTCTGGCAAATCATTTTCCTCTTTTATTAGCTTATCCAATTCTTCTATGAAAGTTTCTGCTGCTTTCCAATCAGCACTGGCTGCCTCCCCACTTACTTTCACATTGTGAAAGTTTGCACGATTCTTGAACCAACCATGACTGGCACTGAAAGTTTGGTCATAGTCATAGCCCTCCTTTTTCTTTAAGTCTTCAAAAAGACTACGAGCTTTAGCCTGTATCATCTTGAGACTTAACAGCATGAGGTTTTTAATTTGGTCTTCCATCCAAAGCACTAAGAGTTTTTCCACGTCATGGATGGGACCTGTTCTTTTCTTTGTTATAATTGTTGATTTCATAGGCGCAAACCCTTTCACTGCTTCACGAATGCGATCACTATTCTTTATAATGGTGCTTATGGTGGATTTCAATAGGCCTAAATTAAGCACCATGAACAATGCTGTTTGACCCCCTTTGTATTGCCTCACTATCGCTATTTTCTGTTCTAAATCAATAGCTTTTCTCTTTCTTTTCATCACCCTTATCACTAGCACTTTTCCTGTCACAAGCAAACACAGAAAATATAAGACAATGAAACAAACATGCTGCCTGACCACAGACATGCAAACACAACATGCTACTGAGAACCAAAACAAAACAAAGGGGATGCAGACAACACGTTGGCTGCCACCATGACTGAGCTGTAGTTCTCATACCACGCTGCCCGTTCTGTTTGAAAAACTAAATGTACATGGTTCTCAACTCGAAAATATTATACAGTACAGTAATATGGGGTTAATGGGAGGTTGGTCGTAAGTATGAATGGTCGTAAGTCAATGTGTTTATAAGTCGGGGACCTCATGTATGTAAAATCTGGAGAATTTGGATACAATTTTAAGCTTTTCAGGGTAAGAACTGTTTCTTAATGAGTACATACTGCACCTAGTACAATAACGCTCCACTTTTGGCATTATAATAGTAACAAAATAACAGTCCCAGAACAGCAAGAAACCTCAAGAGGTCATCAAATCCAGCCCCTGCACTCATGGCAACGCCAAGCACAATCTAGGCCAGTGGTTTTCAATTTTTTTTTCTCTCGACCCCGTTGAAGAAAAGTGTTGATGCCTGTGACCCAGCATAAGTATATCTTTTAACTAGAGTGCAGGCTCCAGGCTGGGGCCACAGGGATCAGAGACTGAGGATGTGAGGGAGGATGAAGGCTTTGCCTAGGGCTGTGGGCTCTGGGGTGAGACCAGATATGATAGGTTTGGAATGCAAGCTAGAGGGTGGGACACGGGGATTCAGTATGTGGGCAGGGACTCTGGGCTGAAGCATGGGGCAGGAGTAGAGGGGGTGCAGGCTCTGTCTAGGGGTGCAGGCTATAGGATGGGCCGGGGATGAGGTGTTTGGGATGCAGGAGGTTTTTCTGGGGTGTGGTGGGGGAGGAGGGCTCAGGCCTGGAACTAGGATGTGAATGACTAGTCGACTATCTGATAAGCAAATGCTTATTGAATAGTTGACACTAGTCAACTAGTTGCTTCCCCCCACCCACACACACACATACATGATGCCTCTATCAGAAAGAGGCAGCAAGGGGGGAGGAAGGTGGAGTGCTTCAAAGCAGCAGCACCGCATAGAGCCCAGGGACACCACTGAGGAGTCTGGGGTCATGAAACCACTCAGCTGTGCTGCACACGGCACAGGGTCACGTCTGCACTCAGGCAGCGTTTGCTCCCAGTCATGCGAGGTGATGTAGAGTAGTCTGATCCTGTGCATGGGAACCAGAGGAGGAAGAGGAAGGGAACCCAGTAGCACTCTCTCTGGCAAGCAGCATCTGCCACTCACTCAGACCTCCCCAATACCCCCCTCCTCTCCTCTAGTGGGCAGGGATAGAATTTCTCTCTCTGCAGGACGCCACCAGTCTGGACCCAGCTTGTGCGGGAAACAATACGAAGCCAAGATTCCCCATCTCCTCCTCCCACTTGAAGACTCCTGGGATGGCTGGCACCTTCCTATGCCTGCTTGTCCCCTGGCTGTGGGTATAATGATGCTCCCCTGCATCTGTACCCTCTCTGGAAAGTGCCCACTTTCTAGGCAACATTTGGCCTTGCTCAAAGCACATCACCATAGTTTGAACCAAGAACTTTGGGGCTGAATCATCGATTAGGCGTCATATACAATGTCTCCTGGAATGACAGCCCTTGTATCCTTTCTTCACAGCTGGGCCAGGTGATCGTTTGGTGCATCCCTCACCTCTCATGTCATCTGTGGGATCTGCAGGCAGAAAAAGAACCCACGAAGATCTGATGTGAGAGCAGATGGCCTGCTCCAAAGGCTCGAGGAGGAGCTCCAGGAGTGGGCCGCCGACCAGTAGGAACACCAGGGTGACTGAGAGCAGAGAAAGGACACCTGGAACAAGCTGGTGAGCCGGCACAAGGCCACGTGCTCCTCCCTCACCCCAGCGATGGAGAGGGCCACCAGCCACCTCCCCACTTCACCAATGGCAGCCATTCCCAGCCTCTCCAAAGGCCACCAGGACCCCAATACAAGGGACGCTCAGGCAGCTGAAGCCTCATGACCACCCAGAGGCAGGCACCAGTACGAGTCCCATCCCTGAGCTCTCCTCCCCTCTCCTCCATTCCAGGTTCCTTACCCAGTTCCTTCCCTATTGCTTATCCCCCAATAAACAATCCTGTTTCAGAAAAGAAGCCTTTATTATTTACTCTGCAGGGGAAGGGGGGAAAGGTGGGAAGGTAGGGCAAGGAAGAGATGGGTGAGGATGAAAGGCACACAGTAGGAATGCAGGGGTCCTCGTCCTGCTGGAGCAGCATGTAGGCGGTCTAGATGAACTGTGCCATAAGGTGCAGCATGATGCCCATGAACCTAGCACCGCTTTGCAGCAGCCCTGGCTCCACGTTGTGAGCGCTGTGGTATTTGCAAGAGCAACCAGAACACACTGCCTCTCTTTTGTGTCCCTGTGACGGGGCAGAACCGCCCCGCCACTCGCTAGCGGTATCTGGGGCCGCCGGAGAGGGGGGCGCAGACGCGGCAGCGCTCGAGGACCCAGGGAACGGGGGCAGGGAGGCCGTGGCACTTGCAGCAGCCCTGGCTCCACGTTGTGAGCGCTGTGGTATTTGCAAGAGCAACCAGAACACACTGCCTCTCTTTTGTGTCCCTGTGACGGGGCAGAACCGCCCCGCCACTCGCTAGCGGTATCTGGGGCCGCCGGAGAGGGGGGCGCAGACGCGGCAGCGCTCGAGGACCCAGGGAACGGGGGCAGGGAGGCCGTGGCACATCATCACGGCGCGCCCGGGAGCGTGGCGGATGACGTCACGGGCGCGACAACAAAGGG